AGTGGTCATCTACTGTACATCAGTTCCTAATACCAATTACATGGCATTAAAAATAGTTATTTATTGGTTCCTTAATTTGAGGAAGAATTTTAAAAAATATTAACAGACCTTATTTTTAAAGCAGTTTTACGTTTTCAGAAATACTGAGCAGCAAGTACTGAGAGTTCCCATATACCTCTTTCCCACCCTTGGCCACATATATGGTTCTCCCTATTATTAACATCTTGCACTTATTGTGGTACATTTGTTAGAGTTGATGAGCCAATAGTGATGGATAATTATTATTAACTACAGTTCATAGTTTACATTAGGGTTCACTCTGTGTTATACATGCCATGGGCTTTGATCAATGTATGATGACATATATACACTAATACAGTATCATAGAGAATAGTTTCACTGCTCTAAAAAATCTCCTGTGCTCCTATACATCCCTGTCTCCCTCCAACCAAACCTCTGGCAACGACTGATATTTTTAAAATCTTTAAATTAACCAATGGTTATTTTTTTAAAACCTTCATAACAATGAAGTTTACCATCTTAACCATTTTTAAGTGTAAAATTCAGTAGCATTAAGAACTGGATTAAGCACAAACTGGAATCAAGATTGCCGGGAGAAATATCAATAACCTCAGACATGCAGATGACACCACCCTGATGACAGAAAGTAAAGAACTAAAGAGCCTCTTGATGAAAATGAAAGAGGAGAGTGAAAAAGTTGGTTTAACTCAACATTCAGAAAGCTAAGATCATGGCATCTGGTCCCATCACTTCATGGGAAATAGATGGGGAAACAGTGGAAACAGTGTTAAGACTTTATTTTTCTGGGCTCCAAAATCACTGCAGATGGTGACTGCAGCCATGAAATTAAAAGACGCCTACTCCTTGGAAGGAAAGTTATGACCAACCTAGACAGCATATTAGAAAGCAGAGACATTACTTTGTCAACAAAGGTCTGCCTAGTCAAGGCTATGGTTTTTCCAGTGGTCATGTATGGATGTGAGAGTTGGACTATAAAGAAAGCTGAGTGCCGAAGAATTGATGTTTTTGAATTGTGCTGGAGAAGACTCTTTTTGTTTTGGAGAAGACTCTTGAGAGTCTCTTGGACTGCAAGGAGATCTAACCAGTCCATCCTAAAGGAAATCAGTTCTGAATATTCACTGGAAGGACTGACGCTGAAGCTGAAATTCCAATACTTTGGCCACCTGATGGGAAGAGCTGACTCATTTGAAAAGACTCTGATGCTGGGAAAGATTGAAGGCAGGAGGAGAAGGGGATGACAGAGGATGAGATGGTTGGATGGTATCACCGACTCAATGCACATGAGTTTGGGTAAATCCCGGGGGTTTGGTGATGGACAGGGAGACCTGGTGTGCTGCGGTGCACGGGGGTTGCAAAGAGACGGACACGACTGAGCAACTGAACTGAACTGAACTGAAGGACATTCACAATGCTATATGATCACCATCACTCTCAATTTCCAAAAAATTTTCATCAACCCAAATAGAAACTGTATACCCATTAAACAATAATACTCTATTTCTCCCATCCTACCCCTGCACCTGGTAACTTCTATTCTATTAATATTTTTTGTCTTTATCAATTTCTCTATTTTAGATACTTCATATAAGTAGAATCATACAATATTTTTCCTTTTGTACCTGGCTTGTTTTACTTGGCATATGCATTCAAAGTTCAGCCATGTGGTAGCATGTACCAGAAATTTTTTTATAACTGTGTGATATTCCATTGTATGTGTATATCACATTTTGTTTATCCACACATTTGTTGATATACCCTTCAGTTGTTTCTCCTTTTTGACAGTTGCAAAAAAAATGCTGCTTTTAAACACTGATGTGCAAGCATCTGTTTAAGTTGTTGCTACTTAGTTGTGTCTGACTTTTTTGTGACCCCATCGACTGTAGCCTGCCAGGTTTCTCTACCCACGGAATTTCCCTGGCAAGAATACTGGAGTGGGTTGTCATTTCCTTCTCCAGGGGATACTCCTGACCCAAGGATTGAAGCCATGTCTCCTGCATTGGCAGGCAGATTCCTTACCACTGAGCCACCTGGGAAACCCCATCCATTTGAGTCCCTGCTTTCAATTCCTTTGGGTTTTCACCTAGGAGTGAAATTGTTGGATCATATGGTAATTCTATGTTTAAATTACTTTCCACAGTAGCTGTACCATTTCACATTCCCACCAGCAATGCACAAGAGATCTAATTTTTCTACATCCTCACCAACACTTGTCTTCCATTTGTTAAAAATAGCCATTCTAATGGATATGGAATCGTATCTCATTGTGATTTTGATTTGCATTTCTCTGATGACTAATGATGTTGAATATCTTTTTATGTGCTTTCTAGCCATTTGTATACCTTCCTTGGAGAAGCATCAAATTCATTGTCCATTTTTAAATTAGAGTTTTTGTTTTTTGGTTGTTGAACATTGGTCTTTTGTTGTCTCTATTGTTTTGTGTTTTCCAGAATGTCATACAGTTGGAATTATATAGTATGTAGTCTTTTCAGATTGGCTTCTTTCACTTAGCAATATATGAATATAGTTCCCCTATGTCTTAAATGGCTTGATAACTAATTTCTTTGTAATGCTGAATAACATTCCATTGTATATGTTTATCACAGTTTGATACATGAACCTATTGGTTGCTTCTAAGTTTTGGCAATTATGAGTGAAAGTGAAAGTCACTCAGTCATGTCTAACTCTTTGTGACCCCATGGACTATGCAGTTTACAGAATTCTCCAGGCCAGAATACTGGCATGGGTAGCCATTCCCCTCTCCAGTGAACCTTCCTCACCTAGGAATTGAACCACAGTCTCCTGCATTGCAGGTGGATTCTTTACAAGCTGAGATACCAGGGAAGCCCAGTAAATCTGTAATAAACACTTGTATGCAGGCTTTTGTATGGACACAAGTTTTCAGTTAACTTAGTTAAATAGCAAGGAACATAACTGCTGGATCATATGGTAAGAGTCTGTTTATATGTATACGAAAATGCCAAATTGTCTTCCAAAGTGATGATCATTTTGCACTCCCACCAGTAATGCATGAGTGTTCCTATTGCTCCACATCCTTACCAGCATTTGGTATTGTCAGCGACCATTCTAATAGGTATGTAAGTGGTATCTCATAGTTGTTTTAATTTTCAATTCTCTAATGACACATGATGAAAATTCTTTTCTATGCTTACTTGATATCTGTATAGCTTTGGTGAGGTGTTTGGGTCTTTGGCTCATTTTAAATTGTTTTAAATTGAGTTGTTCATTTTCTTATTTTTGAGTTTTAAGAATTCTTTATATATTTCGGTTACTAGTCCTTTAACAGATATGTGTTTTGCAAAGATTTTCTCTTCCTTTTCATTCTCTTAACAGTGTCTTTTGGAGAATACAAGTTTTTCATTATAGTGAAGTCCAACTTAATTTTTTTCATGGGTTGTATATAAAAAGTCATCACCAAACCCAAGGTCAAATAGATTTTCTCACAATCTCTTTTTTTAAAATTGAGGTAATATTGCTTTATAACATTAGGTAAGTTTCATCCATACATTATATTTTGACTTCTGTATACGCTATTGTATGTTTATTACCAGAAATTCAGTTTCCACTTGTTACCATACAGTTAACCCTCTTTACCTGTTTCCCTCTCCTCCCTCCTCCCTCTGGTAACCACTACTCTGTTCTCTGTATCTATTATTTTTTGTTTTGGCTGTGTTTCATGACTTGCAGGATCTTAGTGTCCCACTCAGGGATCGAACCTGGGTCATAGCACTGAAAGAAACCACTAAGTCCTAGTCACTGGACCACCAGGGAATTCCCTCTATGTGTTGTTTTTGTTCCTTTATCTTGTTTTTATATCTATACATGAATGAAATCACACAATATTTGTCTTTCTGTATCTTACTTTACTTGGCAAAATACCCTTAAAGTCCATCCATGTTTTTGCAAATGGCAAGATTTCATCCTTTTTTTATGGCTGAGTAGTATTATATTGTGTGTGTGTATGTTTGTGCTAGGCTTAGCTGCTCAGTCATGTCCAACTCTGTGCAACCCCATGGACTGCAGCCTGCCAGTCTCCTCTGTCCATGGGATTCTGCAGGCAAGAATACTGGAGTGGGTTGCCATGCCCTCCTCCAGGGGATCTTCCCAACGCAGGCATTGAACCCAGATCTCCTGTATTGTAGGTGGATTCTTTACCCACTGAGCTACCAGAGAAGGCATGTATGTGTGTGTGTGTGTGTGTATATATATAAATGGGAGATATATATAGACATCTTTATATAGACATATATATATATATATATATATATATGTCTTTACCCATATAGAGACACATATATGACTTTATATATTTATCCATTCATCTGTTGGTGGGCATTTAGGTAGCGCCCATGTCTTGTGAGTCAAGATTTTTAACTGTATTATTTTGTTTAATATATATAGCATTTTACTTGGCAAGAGAGAGATTAAGGTTGCCAAATAACTGAACTTGAGACAGGGAGGTTACTCTGGGTGGTGAGAGTAGGCAAAATTTCACAAGGATTCTTATATGTGAAAGACGGAGGCAGTAAAGTTAGTATCAGAGGGAAATTCAAAGATGCCAGACTGCTCACTTTGAGGATGGAGAGAGAGGCATGAGCCAAGGAATGCAGACAGCCTCCATAAATTGGAAAGGCAAGGAAACAGATTTTTCCCCTAGTAATGCAGTCCTGTCAAAACACTGACTTCACCTCATGAGACCCAGTTTGAATTTATGACCTCCAAACTTGTAATCATATATTTGTGCTAATTAAACCACTGAGGTTGAGGCAAATTGTCACAGTGGTCTTGGGTAACTAGTACACTGTGACTGAGGGGAGGGGGACTCTTTGTAAAACTAGCCCCTCCCAAGGTTCCAGAGAGAATTATGATGCTGACATGAGATTACTCAAAGGATTCTAAATCACCACTCTGATGCTGAAGGAGTATTGTCTAAGCACACCATGAAACACGAAGATAAAGAAAAATCTTCAAAAGGTAGGACTGCTTTAAGGTATTCTATTTGACTGGAGGACTTTCCGGGTGGCACTAGAGGTAAAAGAACAAGCCTACCAATTCAGGAGACATAAAAGACATGGGTTCGATCCATGGGCTGGGAAGATCCCCTGAAGGAGGGCATGGCAACCCACTCCAGTATCCTTGTCTGGAGAATCCCAAAGACAGAGGAGCCTGGCAGGCTACAGTCCATAGGGGCACAAAGAGTTGGACATGACTGAAGCAACTCAGCACTTGCACACACACATTTGAGTGGAAGCTTAGCCTGACAAGCTCTAGCTTATTCTTGGTGAAGACTTCCTGGGGGGTTGTTTTCTCTAATGGTGTAATAAGTGATTTTTGACATTCAGTTCAGTTCAGTTCAGTTGCTCAGTCATGTCCGACTCTTTGCCACCCCATGGACTGCAGCAGGCCAGGCTTCCCTGTCCATCACCAACTCCCAGAGCTTACTCAAACTCATGTCCATTGAGTTGGTGATGCCATCAACCACCTCATCTTCTGTCGTCCCCTTCTCCTCCTACCTTCAATCTTTCCCAGTATTAGGATCTTTTCAAATGAGTCAGTTCTTTGCTGACATATGTGTTGGACTTTCAGCTTCAACATCAGTCCTTCCAATGAATACTCAGGACTCATTTCCTTTAGGATGGACTGTTTGGACCTCCTTGCAGTCTCAAGAGTTTTCTCCAACATCACAGTTCAAAAGGGTCAATTCTTTGGTGCTCAGCTTCCTTTATAGTACAACTCTCACATCCATACCTGACTACTGGAAAAACCATAGCTTTGGCTAGATGGACTTTGCTGGCAAACTGATGTCTCTGCTTTTTAATATGCAGCCTAAACTGGTCATAGCTTTTCTTCCAAGGAGCAAGCATCTTTTAATTTCATGGCTATAGTTACCATCTGCAGTGATTTTGCAGCCCAGAAATATAAAGTCTCTCACTATTTCCATTGTTTCCCCAATTATTGGTCATGAAGTGATGGGACCAGATGCCATAATCTTAGTTTTCTGAATGTTAAGTTTTAAGCCAACATTTTCACTCTGCTTTTTCACTTTCATCAAGAGGCTCTTTAGTTCTCCACTTTCTGCCATCAGGGTGTGTCACCTGCTTATCTGAGGTTATTGATATTTCTCCCAGCAATCTTGATTCCAGCTTGTGCTTCATCCAGCCTGGCATTTTGCATGATGTACTCTGCATATAAGTTAAATAAGCAGGGTGATAGTATACAGCCTTGATGTACTCCTTTCCCAATTTGGGACCAGTCTGTTGTTTCATGTCCAGTTCTAACTGTTGCTTCTTGACCTGCATACAGATTTTTCAGGAGGCAGGTAAGGTCGTCTGGTATTCCCATCTCTTGAAGAACTTTCCACAGTTTGTTGTGATCCAGAGAGCCAAAGACTTTGGCATAGTCAACAAAGCACTGTTTTTCTGGAACTCTCTTGCTTTTTCAATCATCCAGTGGATGATGGAAATTTGACCACTTGTTCCTCCGCCTTTTCTAAATCCAGCTTGAACATCTGGAAGTTCACAGTTCATGCACTGTTGAGGATTGGCTTGGAGGATTTTGAGCATTACTTTGCTAGTATGTGAGATGAGTGCAGTTGTGCGGTAGTTTGAGCATTCTTTGGCATTGCCTTTCTATGGGATTGAAATGAAAACTGACGTTTCCCATTCCTGGGGCCACTGCTGAGTTTTCCAAATTTGCTGGCATATTGAGTGCAGCACTTTCACAGCATCATCTTTTAGGATTTGAAATAGCTCAACTGGAATTCCATCACCTTTACCTGCTTTGTTTGTAGTGATGCTTCCTAAGGCCCACTTGACTTCACATTCCAGGACATCTGGCTCTAGGTGAGTGATCACACTTTTGTGATTTTCTGGATTGTAAAAATCTTTTTTGTATAGTTTTTCTATGTATTCTTGCCAACTCTTCTTAATATCTTCTGCTTCTGTTAGGTTCATAACATTTCTGTTCTTTATCGTGCCCATCTGTGCATGAAATGTTCCCTTGGCATCTCTAATTTTCTTGAAGAGATCTCTAGTCTTTCCCCTTCTATTGTTTTCCTCTATTTCTTTGCATTGATCACTGAGGAAGGCTTTTCTTATCTCTCCTTGCTATTCTTTGGAACTCTGCACTCAAATGGGTATATCTTTCCTTCTCTCCTTTGCCTTTACCTTCTCTTCTTTTCTCAGCTATTTGTAAGGCCTCCTCAGACAACCATTTTGCCTTTTGCATTTCCTTTTCTTGGGGATGGTCTTGATCAATGCCTCCTGTACACTGTCATGAATCTCAATCCATAGTTCTTCAGACAACTCTGTCTTTCAGATCTAAACCCTTGAATCTATTTGTCACTTCCACTGTATAATCATAAGGGATTTGATTTAGGTCATACCTGAATGGTCTAGTGGTTTTCCCTACTTTCTTCAATTTAAGTCTGAATTTGGCAATAAGGAGTTCATCAACTGAGTCACAGTTAGCTCCTGGTCTTGCTTTTGCTGACTGTGTAGAAATTCTGCATCTCTGACTGCAAAGAATATAATCAATCTGATTTCGGTATTGACCATCTGGTGATGTCCATGTGTAGAGTCTTCTCTTTTTTGTTGGAAGAGGGTTTTGTTATGACCAGTGTGTTCTCTTGCTAAAACTCTGTTAGCCTTTGACCTGCTTTGTTTTGTACTCCTAGGCCAAATTTTAATTGTACTCCAGGTATCTCTTCACTTCCTACTTTTGCATTTCAGTCTCCTACATAAAGGACATCTTTTTTGGTGTTGGTTCTAGAAGGTCTTGTAGGTCTTCACAGAACAGTTCAACTTCAGCTTCAGCATTACTGGTCGGGGCATAGACTTGGACATTACTGAATCCATTTTCATATTTCATACTCTCATGGTAGACCCTAGAATTAATTTATAATGTAAAATATGAACAAAAATGAATCTGATAGATGCTACTTAGCACAGGTCCCTTTCTCTTGAAATCTAATAATATTCTTTAGTTTAAACATAGACCGGTAAACAATAACATCATGCCAAAATCTGGAAGAAAATTAAAGTTCCCACTTTTATTGTTTTAACATAAGTTGAACTATCTGTACACAGAGAGATTAAATTTACTATCCTTTGAAGAATATTTATTCTATGTATCTATCATCTATTTCTACACGAGTGCACTTAATATTTTAAAGTATTTACTCCAGCTGGTATACTGATTTCAGTATTTAATACTTAAGGAAGTGTTTTTAACTGTTAAGACTATGACATTTTGATAATATAAGGTTACTTTTTAGTTTATAAATCAAACAATAACAAAATTACCCCAAAGTTCTGGGGGTTTATACTATTGAGATCTGATTCAGTTTCTGATGGAAGAGATTGGTAGGGAGGTAGGTTTAATCTGATGGGACTACTAAATAAAAATGAAGGATATTTACAAGGAATTTCTCTGAGAAGCAAGACAATCATTTGGCTGAATTGTTTTTAATATTAAGACCCAGAACTCATTGAGATAATGGTTATCTTTCTCCTTAATAGGTAGTTTTTATTCCTTCCTACTGACCAGCACAAAGAGGAAGAGAAAATGAGGATTAGAAAAAGAGATGTCTGGATAAATAATTCACCCAAATCCATCTGGATTAGGCAAACTAAGTAATAATACATATTTTCAAACATACAATAATTATTTCCCTAAGAATAAGCTGTATTGGACTCATCTGCCTCTAACCTCCAGCATATGAGTGATTAAATTGTGGTATTGGAAAAACTCCCCTCCCTTACTCTTGTTAACTAACATCCCCAGAAACAGAAATTTTCCCATGATTTTTCACAGTTCAGGATATTTCATGTCAGGATAAAACTGGAGTTCCAATTTCATTTTTCTGTGATTATTTTGGGATTGTTTACTTTTGTATATTTGTTTCAATATAAGATTGCTATCTTTCTTTATTGGGAAGAGACCTTTTTCGTTTGTTTGGTTTTGTTTTGTGGAGAAGACGTTTTTTATTAAAGCAATCTGACCTCCTGTGTTTCTCATTACACTGGTCTTTAGCTTTTTAATAGAGCCAGTTACTTCTTAAGCTTCTAGGTATGTGCAGCTCATTGGTTTTATATGCTACTGCTTGATGGGAGCAAATATATTTCAAGTTTTGGAGACAGACATTCAGGAAGAGTTGAAACTTTCCTTTTTGGATGCTGAAAGAAATTTAATGGAGACCTATGGCAGCATAACTTCAGAAGAACTTGAGATCTTTTTGCAGGTAAGAGATAAAAGGAGAGTGATAAATTTGCTAATTGTGTTTAAGAGAGATGTAGATAGAAGATTTTAAAGAAAGACTTCCTCTGTGTTTTACCTAAATAGCACTAGTTTTCTGTCATCTGGAGATGGAAAAAAAAGACAAGCATTTTTAGTAATAAGAGATATAAAGAAAACAGAACAGTATAAGAATGTAAAGGGATAAGACCAATACAGATGAGAGGAAAAATTACAGAGCAGATATCACAAGGCTATAGGAACTATATTGACTATGCCAAAGCCTTTGACTATGTGGATCACAATAAACTGTGGAAAATTCTGAAAGAGATGGGAATACCAGACTACCTGACCTGCCTCTTGAGAAACCTGTATGCAGGTCAGGAAGCAACAGTTAGAACTGGACATGGAACAACAGACTGGTTCCAAATAGGAAAAGGAGTACGTCAAGGCTGTATATTGTCACCCTGCTTATTTAACCTATATGCAGAGTACATTAGGAGAAGGAAATGGCAACCCACTCTAGTATTCTTGCCTGGAGAATCCTGTGGACAGGGGAGCCTGGTGGGCTGCTGTCCATAGGGTTGCACAGAGTCAGACACGACTGAAGCAATTTAGCATGCATACATGCACTGGAGAAGGAAATGGCAACCCACTCCAGTATTCTTGCCTGGAGAATTCCAAGGGCAGAGGAGCCTGGTGAGCTGCCATCTATGGGGTCACACAGAGTCAGATATGACTGAAGCAACTTAGCAGCAGGAGCAGCAGCAGCAGCAGAGTACATCATGAGAAACGCTGGGCTGGAGGAAGCACAAGCTGGAATCAAGATTGCCGGGAGAAATATCAACCTCAGATATGCAGATGACACCACTCTTATGGCAGAAAGTGAAGAACTAAACAGCCTCTTGATGAAAGTGAAAGAGTAGAGTGAAAAAGTTGGCTTAAAGATCAGCATTCAGAAAACAAAGATCATGGTATCCAGTCCCATCACTTCATGGCAAATACATGGGGAAACAGTGGAAACAGTGTTAGACTTTATTTTTCTGGGCTCCAAAATCACTGCAGATGGTGATTGCAGCCATGAAATTAAAAGACCCTTACTCCTTGGAAGGAAAGTTATGACCAACCTAGACAGCATATTAAAAAGCAGAGATACTACTTTGCCAACAAAGGTCTGCCTAGTCAAGGCTATGGTTTTTCCATAGTGGTCATGTATGGATGTGAGGGTTGGACTATAAAGAAAGTTGAGTGCCGAGGATTTGATGCTTTTGAACTGTGGTGTTGAAGAAGACTCTTGACAGTCCCTTGGACTGAAAGGAGATCCAACCAGTCCATCCTAAAGGAGATCAGTCCTGGGTGTTCATTGGAAGGACTGATGTTGAAGCTGAAACTCCAATACTTTGGCCACCTGATGCAAAGAGCTGAGTCACTGAAGAAACCCTGATGCTGGGAGGGATTGGGGGCAGGAGGAGAAGGGGACAACAGAGGATGAAATGGTTGGATGGCATCACGGACTCAATGGACATGGGTTTGGGTGGACTCCAGGAGCTGGTGATGGACAGGGAGGCCTGGTGTGCTATGGTTCATGGGGTCGCAGAGTTGGACACAACTGAGCGACTGAACTGACTGATAGGAAGTATATAAGATGTGCTGAAATGCTGAAGATCAGGAGAGAAAAACTAGTGTTGGACTAACTCTATCACTGACAACAATTATAAAACAAAGCACAAATTACAGAGAGAACAGAAAACAGTGGTGTAAACAAAGGAGACAGAGCCCAAAAGGAGATGGCCATTTAAAGAAAGCACATGAGGGACTTCCCTGGTGGCCCAACAGTTGAGACTTCATCTTCCAATACAGAAGGTGTGGGTTCCATCCCTGGTTGGGGAGCTAAGCTCCTACTTGCCTCCTGGCTGACAAACCAGAACATGAACAACAGCAACAATACTGTAACAAATTCAATAGAGATTTTAAAATGATCCATATTTTAAAAATCCTTTAAAAAATAAAATAAAGCACGTGAGCTGAGTTCCACGTTTACCTGTCCTTTGCTCTGTGGGCACTCCCCTATTCACCCAGCCTGGTGAGGGGCAACGAGCCCTAGCAGAAAGCTGCAGTTTTACAGGGTTGAAGCATCGAGAAGTCAGAGCTCCAGGACGCTTAACAGCAGTTGGAATTTGAGGAGAAAATCACCAAGAGGAGATATCTTCAGAGTGAGAAAGCCCCCAAATTCTAAATCTGCTATGAATTCCTCTCAAACCATTGGTCCACTTCTAAATTGTGCGTGTTCAGACCAAGACCTCAGAAAAATAAATGAAAGCAGCATCTGTGATTCTGAAGAACCATGCAGAGACTTTAGCAGGGGTCTGAGGCTGGAGAGACAGAAATGAGAATTCAAGACTCAGCAAGTTAGAGGGATTCAGTAAATGTCCAGGCCCGTTGAGATACCAGAAACAACACACCTTGGAAGTAACCCTGAAACTACAGCAAGCCCTAACAAAGTTTGAAAATAACTCTCAGCAGGGCAAGGGTGATCTGTTGGTGTTCTATCTGCCTGCAAAATAAAACCCAGAACCATCTATTAGGCAACATAGAAACATCCAGAGTCTCTACAAGTTTTCATGTACAATGGCCAGAATCCAATTAAAAATTAGGAAGTATAATTAAATGTAGAAACAACTGACTGGAAACTAAGTGAAACTACTACAGTCATTAAAAAAGACTCATCTGTAATTTGATATGAAGTTGTGATCTAAAGACTTTAAAATGTGTGGTTAATAATTTAAGAAAATCTAGGAAAGGATAGAGGATTTCAGGAAATGTCTGGAATTCTTAAAAGAGCATCAAAACAATATTAGAGAGATGGAAAACAGATTAGCGGTTACCAGAGGTTAGGGATAGAAGGCGGTGGTGGTGCATGCGAATGAAAACAGGGAGCCAAGGAAGACCTAGGGGTTTTGTTGACAGAATAGCTCTAAATATTGATGGTGGTGGTGACTATATAAATCATTTTGTGCTTTTTAACAACAGCAGCTTTAATGAGATTTTACACAATTCACTTATTTAAAGTTTACAATTCAATGGTTTTTAGTATATTCAGTGTTGTGTTAGCATTGTTTTATGCTATTTTTGCCTGTGCTGTCATAGCTATGCAGATTTTATATAGAACACTGAAAGAAAACCAACCTTTCTTCCCTCTTCTCCTATCCTCTTTTCCCCTCTCTCCCTCCCCCTTCCTCCCCTCCCTCCTCCTCTCCATCCTCCTTCCTCCCCTCCCTCCTCCTACCTTCCCTCCCTCCTTCCCTTTTCATTTTCTTCTTCCCTTTGCTCCTCCCCAATCCTGCCTCCTTCCTTTCTTCCTTTACTTCCTTTGATAACTATTATGTATATCTGTCTAGCTGATGTTTAATGAATGATGCTGAGTCTGAAGTACCTTTGGGATTTTTGTGTGAAAAGCAGCATTCATCTCCACGCAGATTGCCCTGATTTTTCTTTTGAGCCTTCAGCATGCGTGTGTGTATATATTTTCAGGTTCTTCTCCCTTATCAGTTCAGTTCAGTTGCTCAGTCGTGTCCGACTCTCTGCGACCCCATGAATCGCAGCATGCCAGGACTCCCTGTCCATCACCAACTCCCAGAGTCTACTCAAACCCATGCCCATCAAGTCAGTGATGCCCTTATAGGTTATAATTTTAATGTTATTTTAATGGAATTTTAGGTGAACAGGCAAGAATAAAGAGTCCATTCCACTACTTTGATTCACAGATAGCCCTAATGTGGTCTTTATGCCTTTCTTTGTATGTGTGTGTGTGTTAGTCTCTTGGTCGTGTCTGACTCTTTGTGATCCCATGGACTCTAGCCCACCAGGCTCCTCTGTCCATGACGATTTTCCAGGCAAAAATACTGGAGTGCATCGCCATTTCCTTCTCCAGGGGATCTTCTCAATGCAGGGATTGAACCCAGGTCTCCTGCGTTTCAGGAAGATTCTTTACCATCTAAGCCATCAGGGAAGATATATACTGTGTACAAATTATTGTGGTGCCTGCCTAAATTTCTGAAGTTATCAGAAATCCATACATTCCTTCCTGTAGATTCACTCAAAGATATGGCCATAATTAAAATTTGACAATCTGTCCTCACCTGACAAACATTTGCCATGGTCAATTGCTTTCTCCCTCTTGGTAACTTTCTTCATGTGGCTTCCAAGATCTCACATTCTAATTCTGATTTTCCACCTAATTTTTATTAGTTGTTCCTAGTTGTCTTTGCTGGTTCCTTTGAAGGACTTCTGGGCTCAGTCCTCAGACCTTTCCTCTTTCCTATTTCAACTCATTTCCTTTACATTCCAGTAACTCCTAAATTTATATTTTCAGCTTAAGCCTTTCTCGTAAACTCCATATTGTATAACCATTTGCCTATTTGAAATCACTTGCCTGTTTGAAATATATATACACACAAGATGGTGGAGTAGAAGGATGTGCGCTCATTTTCTCCTGCAAGCACTCCAAATTTACAAAACATTGAACAACCATAGAAAGGAGAATGTTGGATCCCACAAAAAAGATACCCCACATCCAAGGGCAAAGGAGAAGCCCCATCAAATGGTAGGAGGGGAGAAATCACATTTAGAATCAAACCACATACCCTCCAGAGATGCTGGAGGACTCAAACAAAACCTTGTGTGCACCAGGACCCAGAGACCCCACAGAGACTGAGCCAGAACTGCCTTTGAGTGTCTCCTGCAGAGGTACGGGTCAGCAGTGGCCTGTCTCAGGGGCTCTGGGCACAGCAGACCTGGGTCACACAGCATGTGGCGTAAGCCCTCTTGGAGGAGGTTGCCATAAACCCCACCATAGAGCCACAGAACAGATGAACCACAAACTGCAGAACAATTATACCAAATAAATTCTTGCACTGTTAAGAAAGTTCTAGGACCCACAACAGATTTCCCAACCTGGGGATCTGGCAAAGGGACTGAGAATCTCCAGGAAATTTGACTTTAGAGGCCAGTGGGATTTTATTACAGAACATACACAAGATTGGGGAAACAGACTCTTGGAGGGCACAAACAAAACCTTGTGTGCACCAGGACCCAGGAGAAAGGAGCAGTGACAACACAAGAGACTGATCCAGACTTGCCTGTGAGTGTCCAGGAGACTCTAGCAGAGGTGTGGGTCAGGGAAGGCCTTGGCAGTGCATGCAACCTTTTGAAGGAGGTTGCCATATCTTCATTACCTCCACTGTAGTTTGGTCTCCGGTCAAACAACAGTCAGGGAACACAACCCTGCTCATCAACAGAAAATTGGATTAAAGATTTACTGAGCATGGCCTTGCCCATCGACACAAGACCCAGTCCCCCCGCCCTCACCCCCAAGTCAGTCTCTCCCATCAGAAAGCTTCCATAAGCCTCTTATCCTTAACCCTCAGAGAGCAGACAGAATGAAAAGCACAATCACGGAAAGATAATCAAACTGATCACATGGACCACAGCCTTGTCTAACTCAATGAAACTATGAGCCATGCCCTGTAGGGCCACCCATGATAGACAGGTCATGGTGGAGAGTTCTGACAAAATCTGTTCTGCTGGAGAAAGGAATCGCAAACCACATCAGCATTCTTGCCTTGAGAACACCATGAATAGTATGAAAAGGCAGAAATATAGGAGACTGAAAGATTAATTCCCCAGGTTAGTAGATGCCCAATATACTACTGGAGAAGGGTGGAGAAATAGCTCCAGAAAGAATAAAGAGATGGAGTGAAAGCGAAAACGCCAAGTTGTGTATGTGACTGGTGATGGAAGTAAAATCAGACACTGTAAAGAACAATATTGCATGGGAACCTGGAATGTTAGGACCATGAATCAAGGTAAATTGAAAGTGGTCAAACAGAACATGGCAAGAGTGAACATTGACATTTTAGGAGTCAGCAAACTAAAATGGACTGGAATCGGTGAATTTAATTCAGATGACCATTATACCTACTACTGTGGGCAAGAAATACTAAGAAGAAATGGAGTAGCTATCATAGTCAACAAAAGAGTCTGAAATGCAGTACTTGGATGCAATCTCAAAAACAACAGAATCATCTCTGCTTGTTTCCAAGGCAAACCATTCAATATCACAGTAATCCAAAACTATGCCCCAAACAGTAATGCTGAAGAAGCTGAACTGTTCTGTGAAGACATACAAGACTTTCTAGAACTAACACCCAAAAAAGATGTCCTTTTCATTATAGGGGACTGGAATGCAAAAGTAGGAAGTCAAGAAACACCTGGAGTAACAGGTAAATGTGGCCTTGGAATATAGAATGAAGCAGGGCAAAGGCTAATAGAGCTTTGCCAAGAGAACACACTGGTAATAGCAAACACCCTCTTCCAACAATACAAGAGAAGACTCTACACATGGACATCACCAGATGGTCAATACCAAAATCAGATTATATTCTTTGCAGTCAAAGATGGAAAAGCTCTATACGATCAGAAAAACAAGACCAGGAGCTGACTGTGACTCAGATGATGAACTCCTTATTGTCAAATTCAGACTTAAATTGAAGGAAGTAGGGAAAACCACTAGACCATTCAGGTATGACCTAAATCAAATCCCTTATGATTATACAGTGGAAGTGACAAATAGATTCAAGGGTTTAGATCTGAAAGACAGAGTTATCTGAAGAACTATGGATTAAGGTTCATGACAGTGTACAGGAGGCATTGATCAAGACCATCCCCAAGAAAAGGAAATGCAAAAAGGAAAAATGGTTGTCTGAGGAGGCCTTACAAATAGCTGAGAAAAGAAGAGAAGGCAAAGGAGAGAAGGAAAGATATACCCATTTGAGTGCAGAGATCCAAAGAATAGCAAGGAGAGATAAGAAAAGCCTTCCTCAGTGATCAATGTAAAGAAACAGAGGAAAGCAATAGAATGGGAAAGACGAGAGATCTCTTCAAAAAAATTAGAGATGTCAAGGGAATATTTCATGCAAAGATGGGCACAATAAAGAACAGAATGGTATGGACCTAGCAGAGGCAGAGGATATTTGGCAAGAATACACAGAACTATAGAAAAAAGATCTTCATGACCCAGATAATATGATGGTGTGATCCCTCACCTAGAGCCAGACATCCTGGAATGCAAAGCCAAGTGGGCCTTAGGAAGCATCACTATGAACAAAGCTTGTGGAAGTGATGTAATTCCAGTTGAGCTATTTCAAATCCTAAAAGATGATGCTGTGAAAGTGCTGCACTTGATATGCCAGCAAATTTGGAAAACTCATCAGTGGCTCCAGGAATGGGAAAGGTCAGTTTTCATTTCAGTCCCAAAGAAAGGCAATGCCATAGAATGTTCAGACTACTTCACAATTGCACTCATTTCACATGCTAATCAAGTAGTGCTCAAAATTCTCCAAGCCAGGCTTTAACAGAAAGTGAACCGTGACCTTCCAGATGTTCAAGCTAGATTTAGAAAAGGCAGAGGAACCAGAGATCAAATTGCCAACATTTGTCGGATCATCAAAAAAGCAAGAGAGTTCCAGAAAAACATCTACTTCTGCTTTATTGACTATGCCAAAGCCTTTGACTGTGTGGATCACAACAAACTGTGCTGAATTCTTCAAGAGATGGGCATCCCAGATCATGTTACCTGCCTCCTGAGAAATCTGTATGCAGTTCAAGAAGCAACAGTTAGAACTGGACATGGAACAACAGACTGGTTCCAAATCAGGAAAGGAATAGGTCAAGGCTGTATACTGTCACCCTGCTTATTTAACTTATATGCACAGCACATCATGAGAAACGCTGGGCTGGATGAAGCACAGGCTGGAATCAAGAATCCCGGGAGAAATATCAGTAACCTCAAATACCTAGATAACACCACCCTGATGGCAAAAAGTGAAGAAGAACTAAAGAGCTTCTTGATGAAAGTGAAAGAGGAGAGTGAAAAAGTTGGCTTAAAATTCAACATTCAGAAAACTAAGATCATGGCATCTGGTCCCCTCACTTCATGGAAAATAGATGGGGAAAACAATGGAAATAGTGAGAGACTTCATTTTCTTGGGCTCCTAAATCACTGCAGATGATGTCTGCAGCCATGAAATGAAAATATGCTTGTTCCTTGGAAGAAAAGCTATGACCAACCTAGACAGCATATTAGAAAGCAGAGACATTACTTTGCAAACCAAGGTCCATCTAGTCAAAGCTACGGTTTTTCCAGCAGTCATGTATGGATGTGAGAGTTGGACTATAAAGAAAGCTGAGCTCCAAAGAATTGATGCTTTTTAATTGTGGTGTTGGAGAAGACTCTTGAGAGTCCCTTGGACTGCAAGGAGATCTAACCAGTCCATCCTAAAGGAAATCAGTTCTGAATATTCATTGGAAGGACTGATGTTGAAGCTGAAATTCCAATACTTTGGCCACCTGATGTGAAGAGCTGACACATTTGAAAAGACCCTGATGCTGGGAAAGATTGAAGGCAGGAGGAGGAGAGGACAACAGAGCATGAAAGGGTTGGATGGCATCACTGACTTGATGGACATGAGTTTGAGCAAGTTCTGGGAATTGGTGATTGACAGGGAAGCCTGACGTGCTGCAGTCCATAGGGCTGCAAAGAGTTGCACACCACTGAGCCACTAAACTGAACTGATTTGAAATCTCCACTTGAATGTATAGCAAACTACTTAGATTCATCGTTTCCAAAAATGGACACTATCATTTCCCTTTCAAAAGAAAAATCTGCCACCACCCCTCAACCATCACATGAGAGCTCTCAGAGTCTTCTTTGTCTCTGCTCTTTCTAGACTCAGCTTTAGTTTCTCAGAAAATCCTGCTGACTGGGGCTTCAGAAACATGCTCCCCATCACCACTGTTGTTGCTGGTCTCACTAAGCCAGCATCTGGTTGGACTTTTCTGGAGCATCCTGAGTTCTGCAGTATTCTCCTAATAGATCTCTTGGCTTCAACTTTGCTCTCTACATGCCCTTTTAAATACAGCAGCAAAGTGATCCTTTTGGTGTCTTTCTGGTATCTAAGTCAATTTCTCTGTTCATTGCCTTCCAGTGATCCTTTCCGTTGCATTTAGATGAAAATTAAACTTCTTTAATCTTATAGAATCCAGTGCTCCTCCTTTGCTTCCTCTCTTACTTCCTCTTCTATTATTCTGCCCTTAACCTTTCTCTAGCTTGATGTTTCTAGAACATTCCAGAGTCTTACCTTAAGGCTTTTACCCTTGATCTGGTTATTTCCCCTGCTGGGAATGCTCTTTCCTCCAATACTTGTTTGGCTAACTTGCTCACTGCCTTCAAGTCCTTGTTCTATCTTATATTCTTGATTTTTCCCTGACTCTACCCCTCCAACACATCCATTCCACTTTGTTCTCCTTATCTCTTATCACTTCTCAACATGTTATAGGATGATTGTGTTTGTCTACCCCTGCTAGAGTCTAAATTCCACAAAGGTAGATTTTTTTCCTACACTGTTTCAAGGGAAAGGTCAGGTCATACATTTCATCAAATTAATGCTTGTCTTTTTTGTTTGAACTTGTAGATGCTGAGTTTGTCTATAAAACATGGAATAATCCCCACAAGAAATGGAACTATTTATTGTAGTTGGGATTTTAGGAATTCTTTTTCATTTGTGACATCTACGTTAAGCACAATAGGTGAGTAAGGTGCTTTATTTTTAGTTTAATTTAATCTTATTTTTTAAATTTAGGAGATCAGTAATTTAAATTTTTATCATAGCACGGAACTTTGTCTACATGAGTCATAACCCTTCAACCTGCAAATTCAGAGCCTGCTTTTATTTTTAAGATGATGTTTCATCAGTACACGTAGCTTCCCCTTTATTTTTTATCTTTAAATCATTTGTCCCTTCCATAACAAGATCTGTGTTCCCATTCTCTTTAATGGGTGGTCTTGGCATTTCCACCTAGTCTTCCAACACTACTGATGAGACAAAAAACAAAGCCAGATCCAGCCAGATTTTCTAGGATTTCTGATAAACTATGATGTCTACAATTTCTCTGGAATTTCAGCTATACTGTAGCTAGAGAACTTTGTAACTTAAAAACAAAAAGTTACAAAGTCAGCATAGATTTCTGCTGAAATTCAGACAATTCTAAGACAGTTTCTTATCAACCAAGAGCCATTAGGATTTAAAAAAAAAAAAAGATAAGCATAGCTTAAGATAGCTGTAGCCAAAGACCTTCAGGATATTCCTGGAAAATGCCACATTAGACTGCAAAGACCTCAGGCACTGTTGTGGAATTTTCCTTCTCATGGAAATAGAGAAGATTAATAAGTGATGACCATTATCCTCAAGTATGGCATACTCAGATCTATTTTCCCTTACTAAAAATAGGATGTGTATTTGCAGTTATGGAGAAGTTCAGTTCAGTTCAGTCACTCAGTCGTGTCCGACTCTTTGTGACCCCATGAACTGCAGCACGCCAGGCCTCCCTGTCCATCACCAACTCCCGGAGTTTATTCAAACTCATGCCCATGGAGTCGGTGATGCCATCCAGCCATCTCATCCTCTGTTGTCCCCTTCTCCTCCTGCCTCCAATCCCTCCAAGAATCAGGGTCTTTTCCAATGAGTTAACTCTTTACACGAGGTGGCCAAGTATTGGAGTTTCAACTTCAGTATCAGTCCTTCCAGGACTTATCTCCTTCAGGATGGACTGGTTGGATCTCCTTGCAGTCCAAGGCACTCTCAAGAGTCTTCTCCAACACCACAGTTCAAAAGCATCAATTTTTTGGCGCTCAGCTTTCTTCATAGTCCAACTCTCACATCCATACATGACCACTGGAAAAACCATAGCCTTGACCAGATGGACCTTTGTTGGCAAAGTAATGTCTCTGCTTTTTAATATGCTATCTAGGTTGGTCATAACTTTCCTTCCAAGGAGTAAGGGTCTTTTAATTTCATGGCTGCAGTCACCATCTGCAGTGCCTGCAAATTTCCAGCAAAATGAAATTTGTTTTGAAAGTCTTAGTTGCATATTATATTTCAATAAAAGAATTGAGATCTTGCATTTTAGGGCTCCACATGAGGTCAGAGTGTTGGGACTGGATGTTACCATGATCCCTGGTTTCTGTCCTGAGGGGAAAATCTATACTTCTAACTTTTCTGGTCATTTCCTTAGGAAAAATTCTTGGATGTAAAATGACTGCATAATATGCTTTCTCTTAAAAGCTGTGTGTGCTGCTGGGAGTATCTCTTGTAAGAAAACACCAACAACAAAACATCAAAAGTGCATCAAAAATAACACTGAGCAGATATTAAATTTGTCTCTCATCATCCATCAGGTTATGGGTTAATTGCACCCAGAACTCCTATGGGCCAGATGTTCTGTGTCTTCTATTCTTTACTGGGGATCCCTCTAACTATCATATTCCTGCAATCTGTGAGTAATGTATTATTACAACCACTTTCAGAATTTGAGAAATATCTTCAGAATATGGAAATGAAAGAGGTAAAGTCTACCAAATGATTTTTTTACATATGCTTAGGTTCATAACCTTAAGTAGAATTAACACACAACATATTACATTCTTGTTAAACACATGCTAAAAGTATATACACACACATATATATGTAGTTATACGTCTGAGGTGTGATTGCTCTATTTTTTTATGGAATTCCTAGATCAATAAATGGTATTCAGACCAATATAACTATATAGTGTTTTACTTTTCTTCAGAAAAAAGGAGTAATATTCCAAAGAACATTGTAGAATAATGTAGTATAAATGCAACTTCACAACCATGATCTTATTTAATTCCCTAAACCACCTTCTGAAGTAAGTACGGTATAAAACCTAACATCTGGGTTTTCTAGAGGAAAGTATCAACTTAAGTTTTTCTGATATTAGGTTCTAAGCTCTTTTCTGTCCACAATACATTTGTCAGCACTGCTACGGGCAAGGAATTAATATTATTTTATTTAAATTAAATTTAATTTAATGTTAATTTATTTACAAGGGCTTTAATTTATTTAGATATGTTATATAAACAAATATGCCTATAACTAAAGGAGGCCGTTTGTGTTGAGTTGGGGCATATGAGACAAAGAGAGATGACATGGATGGATAGTCCATTCCTAATATTCCATGTGTCCCAGAAAGAGAGATGCTGAGAGGATAAGGATAGGTAAATTGTTTGCTCTTATTGCCTTGAGGAATTCCTGTGACCCAGGCTGCACTTTAGCAGTGATCTCTAACACCTGACTTATCCAATTTAAGGAGACAACTGAGGCAGCATGCTCTTTTCTCTTCCTCTTGGGACTCACATCCACTAGCTTAAGAGTAATAGCTAAAAGGTCAGTTTGTTGTCTAAACAGGCCTGGTCAAAGCCAGCTACATCAGGCCTTCTTAGCAAAGAGCAGTGCCAGTAAGAGCAAGCCCTGGCTGGTGTCTCTCCCACTAGACTCAAGGAAGTGGAGTCCAGAGAAAGAAACTCGTGGAAAATCATTCAACCACCTATCCCAGAGTGGTGGGCATGACTATTCTTGGACTTGACCCCTTCTTACCAGTAATTCTTTCTTGGAGGTGAATCCTGGGAGAAATGGACAAAGAGAAAAGAGCTTTGAGCATTCCTTAGGGACCAAAAATCTTATGTGGAGTAGTTGAACCAGAGAAGTTTCTTTCCCCTTCAAGGAAGAAGATCAGACAGCATCTGGAAAGATTTTGCTCATTTTCTTTTACCTGGAGCCATGTTATCAATCCTTGTAATTATATCTGAGATCAAGGATTTGGCCATTTCAGAGATTTGAGATTGCTTGAAAGTTGCTTTTCAAAACCTACATAGAGCTAAAGTTGGACCTTGTTATATGCTTACAGACATGTCTAAACAAACTCATCAGAGAGTCACTCAAATGTACCAAATAATACATAAAATTATATCACTGATATAGAATGCTCTGAGCTTATTATCACCGTACAAAGTTAAACAAAAAGAGCTATTAACAGTAATTCCACAGAAAATGAAACCTTCAATATCCCCCTTTACTGAAAGCTCTTTAAATGGTTCCAAAATACACATTAAAAGTCAGCTATCTATTTCTTCCACTTTCCTCTAATTCTGCTATATTCTGCTATGGGTACCTTACACAGGTTGGAGTATCTCCAAAGTTGATAAAGAGTGTCTGTTTCCAAATTTTTGGAGAAACAAGATATGCAAAAATTTTATAACATCAACTTTATATCCTACCAAATTTAGAAAGTACTGCAAATCCCACAATTTATAAAATTAGTGTAATCACTGCACTAAGCATATAATATGTGTTAAAATGTAAGGAAATATTTACAAGGTGTTCCAGGAACATAATAATAAAAATATGCAAAGTTCTTAGCACAGGGTCTTTCCAGTATGAGGTACTCTATAAGTAAAAGTTTAAAACATATTATTTCTAATATTGTTTTACTTGTCTGTCTCTCTCCTCTCCCTCCCAAAACTATAACCTCTGTGCGTATCAACTGTCTAATTTTTACCTTGTATCTTGAATATCTCCCATGGTACTAATAGGAAACACTCAAAAAAGGCTTGTTGAACGAATTTTAATTATACCATAAAATACATTTAATCAATTTATATGATGTAGAACTATAAATGGATTATCCAGTTTTTAGATGGGAAAATATTTTCTCTAACAATTTAAGGTGTTGGAATGTCTCTTATCAGAAAAAGATTAATTTATTTGCTTAAAAACCTTAATGTCCTGAGCTTCCATTTGGTGACTGTCCATCCTACACTCTTGCAGAGCCATTTTGCAGCAAGGACCCAGAGCTAGAGGTGAGAGCAAGCAGGTTGCAAAGCAAAAGAACATTTTACTCTAAGACCTAGGGAGAGCAGGAAGACAGTGATTGTTTTACATTAAAGTCACAAAAAGTACAATGCATGAAGAGAGACAACAGAAGAAATAAAAGATTAGCAACAGAGATTCATAAGAAAGATGATGATTCAGTTGATGGAGCTGGGATGTACTTCTAGATGCAAAGGAAACCTGCAAGTCAGAGTACAGTAGGACATACTGGGTCAGGAAAGGATTTGTAAGAGGAAATGGTAATTGAATCGACTATAGCTCTCTGATTGCTATTAGGTTGATGTTAACATCTTCCTTCCTTCCTTCCTCCCTCCCTCTTCTCCCTTCCACCCCTCTCTTCTTCTTTCTTTCTTGTTTTCCCTCTTCCTTTTAGACACAAATTAGAACCTGTGAGCTCCTATTTTTCTTGGTAACTGGACTTTCCATTTTCATCCTTCTACCACCATTACTTTTCATGAAAATGGAGGGCTGGACTTACAAGGAAGGATTATATTTTGCATTCATCTCTTTAAGTACCATTGGCTTTGGTGACTACATACTAGGTAAGTCAATTGATAATACTCTTAGTATTGTATTATCATTCATAGCCACAGAATCAATAAAATTTGAAGTAAATGTATAACCAGAAAGATAGCATATATCTTACAGGAGTTAGAGGCCAAAGATGTTTTAAAATTTTCAACCACCTGACAATCCACAAAAAAGTCCCAAATAATTGCTTTCCATCAAACTTTCTCCTTTGTTTGGGCCACAGAGTACATTAATTATGAGAAAATGGAACAGAAGAATTCTTACAAAGTGTGTTACCACTTACCCAAACATTTAAAGCTCATGTGTGATGGAAAGAGTAGGTACAAAGGATCAATCCTATGCAACATGTGTTTAGTATATTTTCCAGTAGGTAAGTTCACTTTCAAATTGCATATGGAAGAAACAAAGACCTTCCCAGACATTAAATAATCAAGTACATACCTAAATTTTAACTGTAAAATATCCAAGAAGTCTTTTGTTATAAAGGCTTATTCTATATGGCCTTTTTGTATTTGTAACTTCCTTAAAGGAGCAAAGCAAATCTGCAGGCTATATATTTTGGGAAATTTTTCCACTGTTCTTGGTTCACTTCTGCCCCAAATTAGCATCATCATATCAGGCATCATTCTTATTATTAACATATTTTTTAAACTTAGGCCAAAGAACACAGGTACAGCACTCCAGTATGCATGTATGTGAGGCTGCCCTGGCAGCTCGGCAGTAAAGAATCTGCCTGCAACGCAGGAGTCGCAAAAATGTGGATTCGAACCCTGGGTTGGGAAGATTCCCTGGAAGAGGGCATGGCTACCCACTCCAGTATTCTTGCCTGGAGAATTCCATGGACAGAGGACCCTGGTGGGCTGCAGTTCATGGAGTCACAAAGAGTCAGACACAACTGAGCAACTAACATAAGAAGAGAGATAAATTTAGCAGTCAGAGTGAAAAATAACTAATAGTTCAGGAAGAATACTTATAAATCTTTCAGCTCTAATGTTTACCTATTTCTGATTAATTTACCAAAAAGGACATGTATAGACATTTGGGGTTTTGTTTTTTAATCACTAGGTCACAGAGTTGAAATAATCTGTAGGAGTCACTATTTAGAAAGGCAATACTGAAAAAGAACATAGTATGTGTGGTATATATGGTATTGGATCAGAAATAGAAGCAATTATGCTGAAGAATGCATTGTGCTGGCCCTCCTACAATGCCAGTATTTTGGAAAAATCTGGAATGGTGGGGAGTGGGAGAATTATTTGGCTGAGTGATCTTTTTGACGGGTTGGCACATTTGGATCCCAATCCATCCTGCGAACCCACACTGCCATTTAAGGAATGAATAATTTCACTTTGTGTCTGCAACTTCCCACCTTCCCTGGCAGGTCTACCATGCCCATATACAGCCAGCTCAGGTATGGAAGATGCCATATCTCTCTGCTCACTTATGAAAAGTTTATTCCTCCCTAGAATTTAGCTAACCAAGTTTTCTTGCAGCCATTGCTTTTCTCTGGGACTACTGAAAATGATTTCCATTTTGTTTGTTCTCATTTTCACTATGGAATAGGAAAACTTTTGTATCCTCTCATTACCTAGCTGGGAGGCTTCTCTGGTAGCTCACTGGTAAAGAATTCACCTGCTAATGCAAGAGATGTGGATTCAATCCCTGGGTCATGAAGATCCCCTGGAGGAGGAAATGGCAACCCACTCCAGTATTCTTGCCTGGGAAATCACATGGACACCGGTGGGCTACAGTCCATGGGGTCATAAAAGAGTCGGACATGATTTAGTGATTAAACAATAATTACCTAGCTGGAACTGGGACTTCATAGATGTTTTAGTATAAATTTCAGGGAGTTGAGTAAGGGACTCCAATTAATGGGCCATTAAACTGGAAAACAAAGTCTTTTCAACATTCATCTTGGTCAGTGAAATTATGCTATCTTTCATAAAGTTAAGTTTGCTAAATGTATGCCACAGGTTTACATTTTATTCTCTTCCTCATCCTAAAATAATCTTAAGTGTAGTTAAAATGTGTTCTTTTGCTCAATAGCCATACTTTATCATGTGCTCCTTGGCAATTTTTATTGAAGGACATATTTTCTTCATTTGCAAAACCCAGAATGCCACCAAAGTTCATATGATTATTTACATTTTGATATAAAATATTAATTTAAAGGATATTGAGAAAAAAATAGCACAGAGATTAGAGGCATACTGCCAGTGTTTATTGAGGCTCAATATAGTGTGAGATGCTGGGAATGATTGAACGCAGGAGGAGAAGGGGATGACAGAGGATGAGATGGTTGGAAGGCATCACTGACTCAATGGACATGAGTTTGAGTAAACTCCGGGAGTTGGAGATGGACAGGGAGGCCTGGCGTGTTGCTGTCCATGGTGTTGCAAAGAGCCAGACATGACTGATAGTGTGAGATGGTTGTTGGGATTATGCATATACTTTCTTTGTGTTTCTAATTATTTAAAATTGATTTTCATAATAAAAAGATACAAAATATCTGGCATATTTGTAGTCATAAAGAATAAACCAATGGCAGAGTAGGAATATATATTTGTGGGTGATACATTAAACAAAATTTGAGTTTCTAAAGGTTTTTTTATATCTTATGCTTATTTTTAGAAATTTCTACAGCAAGTAAAAGAAATTATCCGATTAACATACACATATCCCAAACTCTTATGCACATCTGTATCTGTATTCTAATCCATCCTGTAACATGTTCAGAATTCAGCTTAATATAGTTCCACATTTTTCAAACCATACATAGAAGTAGAGCATTTTTTTAACCTTCATGTAATAGATATGTTACAAAACATTTACTGTAAATTAACTGTGTAACTATAATTCCATATTCTGTTGAATATGATATTCATTTCAGAAATTCTACTTTTTAGTTTCCAGTTGGTCTTTAATAATTGGTGGTTAGAATTTAAAAGTTGACTTTTTATAGGTTTACACTACTGTGATATAGTTTATAAGGAGAAGATTGGAAGCAAAAGTTGTGCTCGAATAATTTAAATGTGATTTCCTTTTGCCTTTAGGTATAAATCCTGCTAATAATTATTCAAGTATTTATGTGGCAATAATAACACTTTGGTGTACCTTTGGTCTTACTTGGATGGCTCTTTTTTTTGATTTGATTTCAAAAAATTTGGAAAAAGCTAAAATAAAACTTACTTCTAATAAGTTATGGCAAAAAGAAAGTCAGTCTTCTTGGATAAGATTGTATTTCTGGCCTTCTCTGCGAAGATAATCAAAGAGTATCTCAAACTTTTTTTTTAAATAGTGGGACAAGGTGATGCAAAAGAGAATAAGCATTTTTTTCCAATAACCTGCGATATGGATCACATTCACAGTGAAGCTTTGTAATTAATATTTTATTTTGAATTGTATTAAATAACTAATTGAAAACACAATTTAAACTGTTCTCATTGAACCTTTCATTTTCAAAGGCTTTCATTATGCAACATGTGATATATACAAAATGACTTACACAATCCACCCAAGTTAAAAAGTATAATAAATTTCCATGAATCCACCATATAACTTGTGAAGTAGAATTAATGACAATACAATTGAAACTACTTGTGTGAACCTCCCCAATACCATCCTCTTGGCTCCTCAGAGGCAACAATTATTTCAACCCATGTTATTTTTTAAAGTAGTTACTCAATTTAGGCTCACACCAGAAGTGCATGTGAGTTTTCATTATTCTGTATTTTCACTTAAACTTGATATTGTCAGATTTAAAAATTTTACCCATATAATGGGTAAAGAATGTGATCTCATTGTAGTTTTGATTTGTTTATTCCTGATTACCATAGAGGCTGAGTACTTTATATTTCTGGCTATTGTTGTTTTCTCTTGTGTAAATTGCCTATTTATGAATTTTGCTCACATTTTTTTTTACTGGGTTATTTGTATTCTATTTAGTAATTTGCAAGAGTTACTTTATTTTTAATAAACTCTGAATACTAATCTATTTTCAGTTATATTTATTGTAGACATCATATCCACTTTGTTGTTCATCTTTCCACTTTTTATGGCATATTTTGATCAGAAGTTTTTAATTAAAATGTACTTCATCTTTTCTAATACTATTTCCTTTTTTGTTTAAAGATATTTTCTGATTAATATAGTTAACAAAATTAATTGAGAACCTAATCAATGTAAATGACTGCCCTGTAAATGACTGTGAGAAATATGGTATAGTCACTGTCTTAATGGAAATTAAACATCAGCTAATATAAGGTGCAGAATAATGAAAGCCTGTTGTGTGCCATTCACTGTGGCAAATGTTTTGAATAACTAAAACATATTGAGAATTTATATGCAAATTCTTTGCATTCATCACTTTATCTAATCCTGACAAAATCTTAGAAGTGGGTAAGTAATAACATTTCACAAATGAAGCAATAATCTATGATAATTTACCCAAGTCACTCAGCAACTAAGATGCTGAACATAGTTCATTTAAGCACTGTAATGTCCCCAAGTCATCTTTCATATATTGTAAGAAAAACATAAAATAATCCAAATCTAGCATTTACATTTTGAAGACTTGTTAAGTACAGAGCATTGATTTATATCTTCTGGTGTTCATGCATTATTTATACAGATAAATGAGTACCATAATTAGGATCAAAATGCTTTGAGATCAAAGAAGGAAAAGCCTAGGTTGAGACTGAAGAAAATTGGGATCAGCATCCACAAGAAGGTAGCTGTGATATGAGTCTGTATCACCTGAAGACTCTTGTAGGTGAATCAAGCTGGGATGGTAAAGAGACAGGACTTGACAATGCCCAGAAAATGGAGGGCTGAAAAGATACTAGTGGGGAGGGCAAGAGATGAGGTTGAGGACACAAGCAGGTTTTGTGTATACAAAATGAAGCTGCATTGTGGGTGGAAGGAGGACACATTTGGGACTTAAGACAGTGGATGGATAATGCTGAATTGAAAGAGATTAGCAGAGGAGAAACTCTGAAAGTTTTGTGATGCCTAGAGTCTGTTAATCACAAGGACAAAGTTTCTTGTTGTTTGCTAATGAATTGATGTAGTTATAATAGGGAACAGGAACTTCATTTACACAGGCTCAAAATGTGTACTCAGGTGTGAAAGTCTTAAAAGATTAGTGACTGCCCAATATTGTGCCAAGAGAAGTCAAGACCTTAATCTTTTGGTATAACTACTTGAGTGAGGAATCTGGCCAGAAAAGATCAACTACAGTTTTGGGATTTCTTCCCCTTGGGTAGGGAGTAGCTTTGGCATAGTGTTATAAATACTTTAGGTAAAGCCCTTATACACCTGTGAAGATTGGGAGTGGGGCTGTCATGTCTAATACACAGATACCAACACAAACAGCCAAGGAAAGTTAAAAAAAAAACAGAACAGGGAAATAGTTCCCAAACAAAATTACAAGATCAATAATCAGAAACTAATGAAATGGGCATATATGACTTATCCGACAGAGAATTCAAGATAGCTATTACAAAGATGTGTTCTACAACATCAGGAGAACAAACTGACAAAGCGAAAACTTCAACAGAAATAGAAATCTAAACAAGTACCAAACAGAAATAATGGAGCTAAATAAAATAACAGAAATGAAAAAATTCACTGGAGTTCAACAACAGATTCAACAATAAGCAGATTAAGTATTAAAAAACTTGAAGGTCAGTCACTGGAACTTACCCAGTCAAAGAAGCAAAAAGAAAAAAATAATGAAAAATAATGTAGAAAGCTTAAGGAGAATATGTGACACCATCAAATAGATGAATAGATAAACTATGGGAGTTCTGGAGGCAGAAGAGAGAGAGAAAAAGAGGCAGAAATCTTATTTAAAGAAATAACAGCTGAAGATTTCTTAAACCTGGGAAGGAAATGTACATCCAGATCCATGAGACCCCACAGAATTCGAATATAATGAATCCAAAGAAATCTACACCTAGACATTTAAGAATCAAATTGTCAAAAGTCAAAGACAAAAAAGTTTCTTTGTTGCTTTTTTGAGGCAGTTATCTAATAAAAACATTACCACTGACATACATCTTAGAAATATGGGGAAGAAATTTGTGAATGTTGTTTGGAAGGATGGGCAAGAGAGATTCAAGAGCAGGACTGTATACAAAGAAAAGTATATTCCAATTTATCCCATTGTTTTGAATTTAGAAAAAGTCATCCTTAATAGGTATATAATCAGCTTTTGTGTGTAATGAGAATGCCTAAGTGTGTGTGTGTTACTTGCTCAGTTGTGTTCAACTCTTTGTGACCCCATGGACTGCAACCTGCGAGGCTCCTCCATCCATGGAATTCTCCAGGCAAGAACACTGGAGTGAATTGCTATTCCCTTCTCCAGGGGATCTTCCTGACCCAGGGATCAAACCCAGGCCTCCTGCATTGCAGGCAGACTGTTTACTATCTGAGCCACAAGACCTACTCACAAACAGAGAATTTTGGAAGCAGCAAGAGAAAAGTAATTTGTCACATACAAGGGAACCTCTATAACATCATCAGCAGTTTCTCAGCAGATATATTACAGAAAGGACTGAGATGATATATTCAAAGTGCTGAAAGAAAAAAAAAAAGCTGTCAACCAAGAATATTATATATACCTGGCAAAATTGTCCTTCAAATGTAAGTGAGAGATAAAATCTTTCTCAGACCAATAAAAGCTGAGGGAGTTCATCCCCCCCTAGATCTGCTTTAGCTCAATAGCAAGTTAAAAACATCCTATTTTCAAAAATGGGCCAAGGACATGAATAAGTATTTCCCTGAAGAAGACAGGCAAATTACCAAAATTGCATATGAAAAGATGCTCAAAATTACTAAATGTAAATTAAAAATCCATATCTGTTAGGATGGTTATTATAAAAAATATAATGTTAGCAAGGATATGGAGAAATTGTAACCTTTTTACACTCTTGGTATGAAAGTGAAATATTACAGCCTTTGTGTAAAATAAAAAGTTTCCTCAAGAAACTGAAAATATAAACATATGATTCTGTAATCTCACCTCTGGATATTTATCCAAAAGAATTGAAATCAGGATCTCAAAGAGATTTTTTACTCCCAAGTTCACTGCAGCATTATTCACAGCAGCAAAGATGTGGAAATAATCTAAATGTCAATTATAGATGAATATATAAAGAAAAGGTGATATGTATAATAGAATATTTTTCAGCCTTAAAAAAATTCTGCCATATGTGACAATATGAACAAACCTTAATGGCATCATGCTAGGTGAAATAAGTCAGTTACAGAAGGACAGATACTGCATGATTCCACTCATATGAGATATCTAAAGTAGTCAAACACATGGAGGCAGAGAGCAGAATGGTGATCGCCCAAGGCTGGAGCGGGAAACGGTGAGTTGTTATCCAGTGGGTATATAAAGATTTAGTTACAGAACATGATTTAATTCTAGGCATCTACTGAACAACATTGAGCCTTTGGTTAACAATATTGCACTTTACACTTAAATTTCTGTTGAGAGTAGATCTCATATTAAATATCTTTACCACCATGATTCCCTAACTAAACTATATATCATTAGAGGCATTTATTTGGGAACCAGAAACTACACCTCTCTCTCTAGTCATTAAGTCATGTCTGACTCTTGCAACCCCATGGACTGTAGCTTGCCAGGCTCCTCTGTCCTTGGGATTCTCTAGGTAGGAATGCTGAAGTGGGTTGCCATTTCCTCTTCCAGGGGATAATCCTGACCCAGGGATTGAATCTGGTCTCCTGCACTGCAGGCAGATTCTTTACTGAAGCTACATAAAGCAATAGAGTTACAAATCAAGAAAACTTTCCAGAATGAAAAATGGAATAATTAAAACACAGAATAAAGGAAAGAGAGCAAGGTTGAAGAAGACAATACCAATAAATAAAAATCAGTTGTATTTCTATACACTAACAATGAAAAATCTCAAAATCAAATTAAGAAAACAATTTCCTTTATAATTTCAGGAACAAGAATAAAATACTTAGGACCAAATTTAATCGAGAAAGTTTAAGATTTGCACACTGAAACTACAAAACATTAATGAAAAAACAAGACCTAAATAAGTAGAGAGATTTATGTTTATATATTGAAGACAATGCTGTAAGATTAAAAAGTCTTAAAATTGATCTACAGATTCAATGTATAAATTTTCTTATGAAAATTTCAACTACTTTTTTTGCAGAAATTAACCAGATAACAGTAAAATTTATGTGGAAATTTAAGGAACTCAGAGTAGTAAAAACAATCTT